CCTCGGCGTTCTTAAAATCAAAAGGCATGACTCGGTAGTAGAAGAGTTCCCTTGGTGTAGTGAATAAGGTGATCTCGCGGTCGGGGCCATGCATGGCAATCTGATAATAACAGCGGTAGGCATCTAAGAAACTGAGCCTGTTATGTCCAGCCGTTAAGTCCACAAGCTGGTCTATTCTGGGCAGTGAAAAGCTATCTTTAGGGCAAGCTCGGTTGACGGTCTTATAGTCGACACAAACTCGCCACTTCCCATTCTTCTTTGGTACAACAACTGTGTTTGAAATCCACTGAGGGTAGTGCACTTCCTGAATAGCTCATGCCTCAAGCAAGTTCTTCACTTCCTCTGCAACTACCTCGTCGTGATGCAGCGCCGATCTCCTTGTTCGCTGAATGACTGGCTTGGCTCCGGGAAAGACATTTAGGTGATGGAAAATAAAACTCGGATCGAGGCCGGGCATGTCATAAGGCGACCATGCGAATACTTCGATATTGGCCATCAAAAACTCAACCATCTCGATCCTTTCTTGTGCAGTAAGGCTTGAGCCGAGCAAGAAGAACCTGTCCGGACTCTCTGTATCAATTCGCACTTCGACCAATTCTTCGACGGCTTTATCCTCGGCCCTAGTGCCCACATCGTCAAGGACTCCTCGGTCTTCCGGTCCCTCTATCATTTGGACAAAGCCTTTGGCAGGTCAGCTCCCGTTGACTGCCACGAAGCATTGCTTCGACATGACTTGGATCGCCCCAAAATCTCCTCAATTGCCCCCGTAACCGAGGGGAACCTCATCACCTGATGGAAGGTCGACACTACGGCTTGCATAGCGTGATGCCATCCCCTTCCAAGGATCAGGTTATAAGTAGATGGCACTTGCAACACCCAGAACTCCACTTGCTTAACCACGGATCCCACTTTGACCGGCAGGATAATTTTTCCCAAAGGCCACTTAGGTTGTGAGTTGAAACCAACTAGTGGCGAAGTTGCCAGAGCCAAGTCTGTATCTCGGAGCTTGAGCTATTTGAATGCATCGTAATACATGATCTCGACCGAGCTTCCCTGATCGATCAAGATGCGTTTGACATCGAATTCTTTGACGCGGAGTGTGACCACTAAGGTATCATTGTGCGGCGTCTGAATGCGCTCTAGGTCCCTTGTAGAGAAACTGATCACATCTTTTTCTTCGGTCTTGCCCCTTTTGATCGCAGGGGTGTGAGAATATTATGTATTTATGGTATTATGTAATTACGATATTATGTATCAATTAGGTAGGTTGATTGGTTGATTGTGAATATTCGATTGTATAGGGTTATTTCCTATTATAGATTAGGTTTAGGATTGCTATAAATATTGGTTGTGATTATGTATGACACAAGTTGAATATACAAAACATTCAGAAATACTTACAAGCTGGTGGAGCAATTTCTTGGAGGTCTGCAAAGCAAACGCTCATAGCTTCATCCACCATGGCCGCAGAGTTTGTAGCATGTTACGAGGCATCAAATCATGGAATATGGCTGCGGAATTTTGTCACTAGGCTGCGCATTTTGGAAGGTATTGAAAGACCATTCAAGTTATAGAGTGACAATAAGTCAGCGGTTCTATATTCCAATAACAATAGGAGCTCGACAAAGTCAAAGCATATTGACATCAAGTTCCTAGTTGTAAAAGAAAGAGTACAGAGTGGACAGATTTCCGTAGAGCACATTGGGACAAACTCCATGATAGCAGATCCGCTTAAAAAGGATCTACCACCCAAGGTCTTTCATGAGCACGCTGCTCATATGGGTGTTGTTCTATTTGAGAACATTCTGGTTTAGTGGGAGTTTGTATTTGTATTACTACTTTATGTTAGACTTGAGTTTTATCTATGTACTTGGATTGTTTTCTACAGAGATAAAGTATTCAGTTTATTACACTCTGTTACGTATTTTCAAGTATTGATCTCAATAAAGTTAAGTATGACCAGTTGGAAATAGGCATATGTGGATCACATTACAAGTAATTTCCATGCTACGCATCCATGATTGATCTATGTCATTTGGTTGTGTTGGTATACATGACCATTAATGGGTCAAATTACGATTGATGTAACAAAGACTACTTTGATCCTATATCAATACAATTAATGGACAAAATTGTTTGGATACCCTCAGGTCATGATAACAAATTTCTGAGCTCACTAAAGTCAAACACATTTATCAAGTGACATATGTGGTCCGGTGGGAGATTGTTGGATTAATTTCTAATTGGAACCACATATTTAAATGTATGTTATCATTTATAAGAAGCCTCATTTATAAGAAACCTAAACTTAAGTGATCTAATTTAGTTATAAATAGGCTTAAGGGTATGTTTGTCATGGAATTAATGTGTAGATACCATTGTGTAATTTCTATTTCTATGAGGGGCAAAAATAGAAATTATGATAGTTTCCAACCGCCCAACCGCCAGATGGAAAAACTATAAATATTTAGGGGTAATGGTCCCCAATCCTATCCAAAAAATACATATTCTCTAGATCCTCTCTTGGAGAAAACAAAAGGCATTAAAGTAAGGAAAAGGATTGGAAGTCTATCTCGTAATCACGCTTCCGCTCAACCGTCATAATGGATTCGGGTACACATTTTTGCTTGATTTCTTAATAATACACTATGATATGTGATCCGTTATTTAAGATTATTAGGATTTAATCCTAGCAATACATTCATTGCTCTTCTTTGCAACTTTTTCTCAGACTAAAGTAAGAAGGGAAGCTATTTGAGACAGTTTGGTCATGCACAAAGGAAACAAAGAAAGGCACCCATAAGTAGACAGAGTAGATTAAAATTTTAGGTAGATAAGGCATGAATATAAGCTCTGCATTGGCCACAATGGTGCTTTTCCAAGACAAATTATGTTACAAACACCATCAACCTTAGTTATCCATGCACCACAATTCTCAAAATACTTCTTATCATACTTTTATGGTTTGGGAAAGTCAATTCAAAGTATCCTTACAACATGCAATCCATGTTTTTGCTAACTTTGATGCTCCTAGAAACTCGATGAATTGATGGAGATCCCGATGCAGGATTTTTACTTTTGGCACCACATCAAAGGATGGACAACTTGTAGAATGACTAATTATGATTGTTGATGGTTTGAAATGATTTAGCACTCAATTATGATTTACAAAGGCTGAATAGTGTGTTTAGTAAGAGTTTTTAACTCAAAATCAGCAAACAGGATTTCAATTGCATAAAAAACTCAAAATAAGAGGATCGATTAGAAGAAGAAAATGAAGAAAGATAAGTGCGAGAACCTAGGCAATCACAACTAGGATCTTGAGCATTCACATTCACCCTCAAGGAGAGATGCACCACACGTCACAGGTGAGGTGATAGGCTTAATCACAATGGTTCTCATATAAATTTCTACTTTCTTGACATGATAATTTATTCATAAGTTGATAGTGCCATGACAAAGTCTGTTAAAATCCACCTACTCTCCACCTACTTCACCCACTTAAACCTACTCCACTAAACCTAACCCACTACACCACTACCACCTCACCTACTCCACTAAACCTAACCCACTACACCACTACCACCTCCACTTCACCTACTCCTTACCTACTACACACTCACCCTCTTCTATATATAGGAATCATGAATCATTGTAATAGATATCAATATACATCAATCAATAATACAATCATTTCTCTTTATACATTAAATTTCTACAAAGTCTATCCGGCATTGTCTACAACCCTGTTACACTTCTTAACAATCAATTGCATGCCACTTTTTCTGATGAAAGGTTCTTGCAAATGACAAATTAATACAGCATAAGATAAATCAGGAAACATGCAACACATAACCTGATCACTATCAGAGAATGAATTTTTAGAAATAACCAACTCAACCAAATTCTGGTTAAACAATTTTCACGATGACCAAGCAATCAGCTAATTAGACAGACCCCATTGATGCTTTTTGTCCAGGTCAAATGAAAGAATAGGATAACTAATCAAAAGGGTTATCAGTTCCAGACTTGAATCCTAGTTATTCTATTTCGTAGTTCTGTTCACACTAATCAAAAGGTGTTAACAGTTCTAGACTTCAATCTTAATTACTATTTTCTGGGTCTCTTTGCTGTATTTCATTTAACACACAAACCACAAACAAAACACATACATGCACATTTAAGTCAGGACAGGAAGTCCCAATGAAAACGAACCGGTGTACTAAAAATATAGAACATAAGTACAGTTGGAAGATCTTGAAAATTGGTAATTCTCCACGTTCTGTGCACGCTTCAAATAGGTAAAAATCAAGGTCAAAGAAACACGACTTGGGCACAGGATAGATCATATGTCAACATGCAGGTAAATAATGGGCACATAAACAGCAGGCTACAAGAACAACAACAATAACAAAAGAATGGATTCACAGTGTCCTAAAACTACTTGCTTGAAAATAAGGATATATATAATACATATATATTCTAAACTAACAACTAGTCCATTCTTTTTTATTATGAACACTGAATTTTCTATCTAAAACATGATAACTTAGATGCTTCATCACAACTGAGTGTATGGAAGAAGAAATTGAACAACAAAAAACGCATAAGCCCTATCCCCATGTCTTTAAGTCCTAAATGCAACAAGGGTAGCCAAGCAAATAAAATCGTTTCTTACAAAGGGTATTATTATTAATACCAACCATACTAACATTGATTATTGAATGCCTATATTGGTACCAAAACAGAAGGACAGCAAACAGTCCCTGAACTTGAAGCAAAGCAACAATATAAAATCACTAAGAGGTTTGGTCGCCCTTTGATTACCAGAGATGTATCTCTCTCTTTATTCTTAACAAAAGAGAAACCTGAACTAGCAGCATTACAATTCAAAGACTTCAATCATGAAAACAATGATAATAAAAATAATTAATAAAAGTAAAAGGCCTTTGATGAGCAAATCTTTAGAAACAAACTCACAAATATAAAGAAAAACTTACAAACAAGGCCGGTGTTGTCAATGTTGTAGCTGTTACAGATCTCAAAATCATAGAGATCAGCATGATTGTCAGCTCTCTGACTGCAACAAACCAAATCAAATTCTCTTTCTTAAATGAAGCACCACCTAAACTAGAGCTTCCTAATTGCCAACCACTACAAGAATTTTATCTTTAATTACAACTAAAAGAAACAAAACAACAATTAACAAGTAAAAGAAGATTAACAAGGCACTAAATCAACCTCTGCGTACATATGAAGCACGGAAACGTCACACCATATGGACACACCAATATGGAATTTTTTGAAAAATGCAGAACATGAATACACATAATTTAATATATTTATTATAGATCATATCTATGAATATTACATTCAAAAATATTATTAAAAAAAAGTAAAGTAAAATAACACTAATTCCTGAAATTTAAAAGAGGGGAAATTAATAGGTGGAAATTTATATTGTTTTCTTTTAGCATAAGTTACTTTTATTCAAACTTATACATTGTGTTTCATGTGGTGCTACCCAAATGTCTGAAAATTGTTTGGTCCTAAAAAAAAATTTAAAAAAATTAAAAAAACAAAAATACCTGTCGAGAAGTGCCAAATACACCACCTTCTTAGAAATGTGGGCACTTCTTAGCCGCATAATATTAAAAAGGAAGTATCAATCTAAATTTGAAGCAATCTAAAACATGGTGCTCCTCAGTGTGATCTATTTTTTTGAAGAATTATAACAATAAAATGAGAAGCATATAGGCAATAATGATTGAAAAAAAATGGTGAAAATATGGAATTAAGAAACTCACAATAAACATAGTTCTGGGGAACCAGTGATGGGTAATGTGTAAAAAACGCAAACATCTCTGGAGGTGGACAAAGAATCTGAATTTTCCTCCTTTACATGGAACTGTATCAAGTTAAACCCACGAATCGCCTTCCTAGAAATACTCTTAATACCTATTTCAGGTTGCTTGTCTGCACAAATTTTATTATACCCAGAAGATCAGCATTCACATTCGTACCCACATGAAATTGAATAAAGAAAAACACGTATTGATGATGATCTATTCAAGCACTATCAAATCAATCATAACACACACACACACAGTAGTACCAGGATCTGGAGAAGGGGGGCGAGGAAGAAAGGCGTGGCGAAGAATTGCCCACCTGAGAGAAGAAGAAGAAGAAGAAGAAGAAGAAGAAGGGTCGGTTAACGAAGGAGGAGGGTCCATGGTCATGGTCCCCTCTGGAAGCTGGTTTGGGTCCTTTTCGTTGGTGGTGTAGTGTAGTAGTGAGAGAGACTCAGAGTCATGAATGTGATGATCCATCATCATGTTTGTTGGGGACAAGATTCAGCTTACAAAATAATTGTTAATTCTACGGAGCAAGCAACAAACAGTGGTCCCTATCCACTCAAGTTCACATCGTCCGCCGTTGTATCCGGCGGTCCCTACTGCAGTTCAAAAACGGCAGCGTTTTGACCATGTTTTTTTTTTGTGTTTTTTTTTTTTTTTGGCCCTTTTTTTGGTCCTTTATCTCCTTTTCCTTGGGGAAATTCTATTTTCGCACACTACATTATCTCTATGCACATCATTTCTCACTCCACTCATTTAATAATTTAATTTTTAGATATTTATCTCAGTCTACACACCCCGCATTCCAAATATACCCATTTAATAAGAAATATGTGCACACCCTTATTTTCTTCTTCTTCCAAACTCTAACCCTAACTAGCAACCACCTCGCGCGGCGGTGACACAGCACCATCGTTACCACCTCTTTTTCACTTACAATCACCATCCCCACCTACAAACTCACCCAACGTACACACTAAATTTGAACATCTACTGAAATTGTGTTTCAGATTTTGAAATCACAGTAAACTTCCAGTGAAGGACCTCCATAGAAGACCTCCATTTTGAAATTCATCACTGGTTTTTTCTGTTTCTTGCAAAAAATTAATAAACATACATTTTTCTGTTTCATTCGGAAGTACACTGTCGAACCAATGTGTTCGGATGTTGAAGATTAAACCAATATGTTTTGTTTGGATGTTGATGGTCGAACCAAATTCATTGGTTCGATGGTTGATTTCCAAATGGAAACGATTCTTTCAATATTGGTAGTCCAAATGGTAAGAAAATGAATCTTCGTCCCAGATCTAGGTTCCACGATGCCTACAATGGTGGAGAAGGTTGCGTGAGGGTGGTGTAATGGTGAGGCAGCGATGGGATGAAGATGTTACCATGTTTAGGATTAGGGTTTAGAGGTAGCGGGTGGTGGTCAGCAATGGCTACTAGTAGTAGGTAGTGGCTAAGGTTTTGATTGAGGTTTAGGGTTTTGATTGAAGGGAGAAAGGGGTATTTTGGTAGTTTCATTTTAGAACAAAAATATAATAATAAAAAAATTCATTAAATGTGTTGATAGAGAGTAAATTGTGTGCAGAAATAGAATTTCCCCTTTTCCTTCTTCCCTTGTTTTCTTCTCTTTAAGTTCTCAAACATATAAGAACTAAAAACCCTAACCCGACAAAGAAATGAAGATGGCGGCAGTGGCAACAACTTAGAGAACACATTATGATCTGGGTATTTTTAGAAACGAGTCCGATGACTCCGACTCCGATCACCGCCACCTTCACGAACTATGTCATAATCTCTGGGGGTTTTTTTTTTTTTTAAAGATCATATGTAGAATCTTTGTTAGATTTCGGATTGGTTTGATTTGGTTTTATATATAAATGATGATGACAATGTGGATTTGTGGATTTCTATTTAGAAAAGTATTGAATTGATTTTTGTGTTCTTGACTAGTTAAGTCATTTTCTAGGATTGCAAATGAATGTGAGCAGTAACCATCATTTCAATAAAATCATATAAAGAATTGATGAAAACATAAAATCTATGACAGACTTCCAAGCACGAGTGAAGGTGCGTGAAGTGTGTTGAACAAAAATAGTGATTGCCCACCTGAGAGAAGAAGAAGAGTCTCCTTTCTCAACCAACCATTCTTCTTTTTCTTCTTCTTCTTCTTTCTTTCTCTCTCTTTTTCGCCTTCGTTGCCAGGGTCTTCTTCGTCTTCGATCGTTCGAGGTGTTTAGGGTTATCAACTCTCCGTCCCTTAAGGCCCTGTTTGATTGGGAGATATGAACATTGGGATTGAATATTATATCTGGTGGGGTCCATATATCCCATGTTTGCAATTTTTTTTTTTAAGGGGATATAATATCCGGTGGGATTGTATATCCCCCAAAAGTGGAGGATATACAATATCACTCCCCCATTATATCATATCCCCTTGGTTGGGATATGATGTAAAAAGTCCAATTTACCCTTTTGTCTATCTAACAGAATGTAATTTAATATATTTTTTTGAATTTAATATAATATAATTATTGAATTGAATTTAATATTATTGAATTTAATATAATATAAATATTATTGAATTTAACATAATATAATATAATATAATATAATTTAATACAAATTTTGAATATAATATAATATAATATTATTGAATTTAATTTAATTTAATATAATATTATTGAATTGAATTTAATATAATATAATTTAATATAAAATTTTGAATTTAATATAATATAATTTAATATAAATTTTGAATTTAATATAATATAATTATTGAATTTAATTTAATATAAATATTATTGAATTTAATATAATATAATATAATATAATATTATTTAATTTAATTTAATATAATATAATATTATGAGGGCAATCTTGGAAATTACTTGTTATATCCCACAATATATTTTGTAAAACAAACATGCATAACATATATCCAATCTTATATATCAAGTCAACAAACATGACTTGGGGGATATACTATCCAATACCTATATCTTATTCATTATATATCCTGACTAAATCTCACATCATATTATATCTTCCATTTTATATCCAGTGAAACAAACGGGGCCTAAGAGCTTAGAGAAAGAACAAAATAGATAGGGGAAAAAAGAGGCCAAAACGATGCCTTTTTTGCATCACGGCAAGAAGTCATTACAGGGTGTCACAGCAGAGGATCTGAACTCATAAAGAGTCATCCACACTTTAATGGTGGGAGTACACACGCCTCACCATTATCATTATTATATGAACAAAATTAGGATAATTATTCAATAATCTCAGAATATAGATACGTGGTATTCTATAGTATTGTAATTTGTGGAGAAAGTAAGTAGGTGGGGTATTGTGTTGAATGATTGAGGAAGATAAGGGGGTCAAATAAATTATGATTATAGTTAGGAGTACAAACATGTAGTACTGTAGAAATAGTCTATAATTTCCTATAAAATTATACGCACTAATTGGTATGTATACTAATAGATGATGTGTCATAATTTAAAAAATTTTGAATTTTGTAATTTGTATAATAGAGGGTTCATATTTTTAAAATGACATTGTCATAATATGTATTAATATACTAATTAATATATCAATTAATACATATAGCATCACTATTATTATATTTCCCATTTGGATGCCCCGATTTGGAAAGAAAAGGCCAAGAAAATAATTAAAAAAACAATTCCCAATATTCATATTAGGGAACTTACGTACATGTGTCAATAGGAAATATATGAGAAAAAAAAAAGTTAAAAACTTAGATTTTGACTTGTATAGAAAAGACGGTTAAAAGTTAATTTTTTAATTTTTTTTAATTGTTTTTAAAAAAATGTGTAAAAATATAAAGAAATTATGTGACCTAAAATAAGTTAAAAATCAAAAATTGATTTTAGCTAAAACACTCATTTGTTTGACAACTTACTATTTTAATTTAAAAGTTAAAAAATTATTGAAAAAAATTAAAAAGTCAACGAAATATATAACAAAAATTAAAGATTTTATTTTTTATATATTTTTTGTAAAAAATTAAAAATTCATCCCCAATATATTAATTTTTTTATCTCATATATTAGTTAAAATGTCAAAAAATTATTAAAATAGTATGTTTTCAAACAAAACTTTTTTTATATAATTCTTATTTTGAATCTAGATGGGATTAAAAAAGAAAAAAACTAAGTGTTACTATTAATATCTTCATCAATTATTTTGAACCTCTTATTTTTTATTTTTTTATTACAATAATAATCTCAAGTAAAATTACTAAAAAAGATAACAATAATTTTGGGACATTCCATCTCACAATTAAGCTCATACACCCACTACATCATGAATTAGGGTTTGTGAGAGCACTCACCTCCATCACCACCCATTCATATTTCCCAAATCCCACCTTCAAAACCTATTCACCCTCAAAACCTTAAAAACTCTTTGGCGGCAATATTCCAGCAGCAATGATAGCAACCATTTGATTATTTATATTTCTCTAGTAATGACAATGAGTGAAAGTTTTTTCGACAATCACAACTCTATGAGACGAGAGGAGTATAATAATTAAAGCTCAAAAGAGATTCATAACTTTGATGTATTCTTAACTTAGAGGAAATTAACATTGTAAGGGTAAGTTTCTTGAAAAAAAAAAAACAAAAATAATAAAAACTGTTCATCATTTTTTTGAGGCTGAACTCCCGAACGTATGACCAAAATTCGGAAGCACAAGTATGAACATTGTTTATTTTTCAGAAACAGATAACCGAACATTTTTTATTTGTTTGGAAATAGATAACCAACTTTGATAATGGCCAAACCGAAGAAAAGAATGAGGTGGCAGAGATCACAACCCAAGCCAGTCTTGTCAGGGCAATTGATAATAATCACACTTGGCTCTTCTTCTTCTTTCTCAAGTACAAAAATCCCAACCAAATTTCTTGCTGACATATTCTAAGGATTAAAAATTAAAAACCCTATATTTATTTTCTCACTGTAAGGTTATAAACAAGTATATGGAGATGAAGTAAGAATCATCTTCGTGAATTTTGTTAGGATTTTTGAAAAAGAGATTTTTTGGGGTGTGAGAGTGTGCATTCAATTGAATAGGTGGAATGTTTTCACCAAGATAATTTTGGCATTATTTAGGGACAAAAAAGAAATTTTAAGGATTTTAAATTTATAAGTAAATGTCTAAAGAAATGATGGTCTAAAATAATTGATGGAGTGTCAAGAACAACACTCAAAACGAAATTAATTATAGTATTTTTCTTTTCCTTTTTTTTTTTAACATACACCAGTCCTTCGCTTTTATAAGATGGAACTTATCACAAGTACCCCCAACTTGACAACTCAAATGAAAAGGCTTTTGCCACTTGATAAGTATATCAATCACCAGTCCTTCACTTTTATAAGATGGAACTTATCACAAGTACTCCCAACTTGACAACTCAAATGAAAAGGCTTTTGCCACTTGACAAGTATATCAATTATCATACTTTTTTTGTTTTTCCCTTT